ATGGCCAGTGATCGACTGTACGCCAGCCTGCTGCTTCTTTCTGGTCTCTTTCTCTGCTTCCAGCAGTCCAGCCCCATGCTAGAGTGGTTGTTTGGAGATGAAAAAGTGGAAGCTAGCGATGGAACCTCGGTATCGGATAGCAGTCGGTTTGAAGTCTTGTCTTTTGATGAGAAGTTTTTGGAGTTCGCGAAAACTTTGAACGACATGTCGCCTTTGGATGCCTGCTATAACATTGTGAGTTTATATTGTGTGTCTATATTTTTAGGTGTTTGTTTTTAGTTTATGTTAATGTTAGAAAAGAACTGTTAACTTTAAAAAAAAACATTTTCACCCGAACGATGGATTTTGTTTGTAATACTAGACTGGTTGTGATGTGTGTCCGTTCCCGTTCGCTTTTAACACTTTGAGGAGCCCCAGAGAGTTTAGCATCAGAGGCCCAAGGGGTGGTAATGCAATTTTTTTTTTAAATTTGACAAGTGCAACACATTCAATTACAGATCATACTAATTTAGTTGCAAACATATACTATACATCAAAGTGGCAAGGGATTGTTGAGAAATAATTATAGAATACAGCTACAACAAATAATTGCGTTAGTAATTACATATTAGTAAATGAACAGACATTATGTTTAAAAAAAATGGCTCTCCTCCGAACTTCTACCCCCGCAGTATTGCGGCCTGAAATATCTGTTCGGAGCATAGTCCAATTAAAAATACGGACTTGTCGGAGCTCCTGCCGAGGAACAAATTGCGGCAAAACTAGGAGTACCTTACAATGTCACGAGACGCAACATTGCAGACGATAGTAGCAAACGATAAAAGCGACCGGTGACAATGTCGAGCATTTTCCGCAGACGATACTAGCAGACGATAAAAGCGACCGTTGACAATTTCGAGACATTACAGACGATGAAAGCGATATGGCGGGTAGACCCCCGCTCCCACGCAGATTAGCAATACTGTTCTTCCGATTGAGGATTTAGCAGCGGTAGATGTCAGACTTGTCGGCACATGCAAAACGCGATTAAACTCACCGCTGAGCGTATCCCCCACGCTGATGGGTGGCTAAACTAAGTGCCTGGGACTCACGAGCAAACTAATTGGAGGAAGTTGCAGGAGATGCAGTAGCTGCCACTGGTGAGTCCCAGCCATCTAGTTTAGCCCCTATCGGCGTAGCAGCGCGGTGGATACGCTCGGTGATAAGGCATAGTCACAGAAACAGGTCCGCAAGTAACATATCGCTGAGACTCTGTTAGAGCATTTGTTTCGTTTTTCTGAGCCGATCCTAGATCTGCAGCGATTTCTTCGTCGGCAGAAAGTTTGACAATGGAAAGTGTCAACGGTCGCTATTATCGTCTGCTACTACCAGTGTTAGAGTGTCTGCAGTGTTGCGTGTGTCTCTTAGAATTGTCAGGTAATCAGAAACAAAAAGAAAACAGGTCCGCAAGTAACATATCGCTGAGACCCTGTTAGAGCATTTGTTTCGTTATACGGAGCCGGCATATTTTTAATTGGACTACGCACCGAACTGATATTTCAGGCCGCAATACTGCGGGGGTAGAAGTTCGGAGGAGAGCCAAAAAAATTAGTAAAATGAAGTAAAACATTTTCTACTTACCACCATGGCACTCAAGGAAAACTTAAAATTTATCCAAAATAAATCCAAATGGATATAAACCACTTAATAATGTATAAGTAAAATATAAACTCAATCTATACATTAGATTTTGTTCCAGAGAATCTTTTGAAGCATCATAAAATTAACAGAGCATGATTATTTGGTGAAGAAAACTGACTCCCAAAACAATAAGTAACTTCACACAAAACAAAGTTAAAATAACACTCAATTTGCCTGCAGTTTTATAGCTATATTCCTAAATAATAAGGGGTATAGCACTAGAACTAACTGACCCTTAAGAAAATCATCTTTTCACTAATGTTTATTCTGTTTGTGCCCGTTAATCGTTGTACCCTTCACACAATGTACACATTAGACATATCCCTCATCAAAGTTTGACTCTATAAATGACTGAAACACGTCTAATTCGCAATGTTATCCATCTAACTTCAGATAAATCTAATAAACACATAATTTATTTAAATTTGCGGCTTCTAAAGCCATAAATCATGTTGGCATGCATGTAGAATACTGCTTGCCCATATTCTTTTCAGACACTTATTAACTCGGTAAACCTCACAAATACACTATATTTTCAGCTTTCAAAACACGTTTCTAAATGAGCACACCTGATATCAGACACCAAGAATTTGAAAGGAAGTTGAAATTGAGTGGTCTGCGTTTTATTACCCGTCATTGGTAGATTAAAAACTTCACTTGTCACGCGTCGATTGGGCCACCCGGATGTAACAAATTAGCCGGTGATGCGTTCCCTAGGACTCAAAGAGTTAAGAGAAAGTTTAACGATGTTTTTGATTTCATTCATAATTTAATTTAAAGACATTTGTTTTAGATATATTTATGAAATCTGTCTAATTTTTCAAAATTGTGAAAACATCACCGATTACTATCATGGATGGATATACTGTAAGCAAAGTAGCACAACCTTACTTTATTTAATTAAGTTTAAATTTAAAATAAAAAAATTAAATATTACAAATTTTTTTTGTCTTATATACTATGCTTAGTCTGCCTCTGCTCTTCTTCCCCATTACAGAGCCCTGTAATGTAATATTTTTTTATTTCTCTTTTTCAAGACACTTTTAGATCTAACTGCATTTTCACTGATATTAGCAGAGATTATTGTTGCTAATGTAGTATACAATTATAAGTAGTGCAGACTGGAAACTGCATCTGTAAGATACGGGCTAATGGTAATCTTTAGGGGATCAGCTCTGCCAGGTTTAAAATATGGCCCGAGATGCATAATAAAAAAAAAAAATCTTTCATTCCATGTTCCTCTGTTGAAGTCCACGGTATGTGATCGGTAAGAAAATTTAAAAGGACAGAATCTATCGAGTGAACCATTATGGGAGTTACATTTTGTAAAAGACCCACCTTAACAGTGGTCCTCAACCTTTTTTCAGGTCGCTCTCCCTTGAATAAATGGCAAGACCCCTACACCCCCTTGAGTATATGGCAAGACCCCTACACCCCCTTGAATATATGGCAAGACCCCTGCGTCCCTTGAGTATATGGCAAGACCCCTACACCCCTTGAGTAAATGGCAAGATCCCTGCGTCCCTTGAGTATATGGCAAGACCCCTACACCCCCTTGAATATATGGCAAGACCCCTGCACCCCCTTGAGTATATGGCAAGACCCCTACACCCCCTTGAATATATGGCAAGACCCCTACACCCCCTTGAGTATATGGTAAGACCCCCCACCCCCCAATATGACAAAATGTGATTAATTTAAAAAAGAGGACATTTTGGTCAGAATGTGTTCTTAATCTATAATTGCCCATGTTATCATGTTAATTAGATTTTTAAATGTAGATATACACACTGCTTATTTAAAGTTAAAAAAAAAATTTTCCTTTATTTTTGTTGTTATAAAAATAGTTTAAAAAAAATATTTTGTTTGTTTGATTTATAATTAAACTGGAAAAAAAAATAATATAAGGGGTTATTAAAAATACAAATGCACTCAATATAAAAATTGGTCGACGCCCTATTGACACCTCCTCGCCCCTCCCCTGGTTGAAGACCACTGCTCTACCAGATCATGATAAGGTATATTTTCATTCACTATTCTGTTTTTTGGCACAGGTAATCTACAATCTAAAGAAGAAATGTGGAGAGTTGGCAGAAGAAGAGCTGGGAAAACTGTCAGTGCAGCTTCTGAATTGTCAGTCGGAAGTGGAGGACAGGCCTGTGTATCCGTGCACAAACTCTATGGTAAGGTGTCACGCCAGTGGTCACAGTGTACATGTGTAGACTGAAACTACACTGAATCAGTCATGAATTTTACCTTTTCTACCTAAAAATTGAGCGTGGGGTGTGAAACCTTAACTCTTTGTCTATTAAGGTTTGCTAGAAAAATCCCCTCCGCTCCCACCCTCCCACAAATTAAATATCGCCTCAAAAGCTCTAACCAGTTGCTGTGTTATAGCAATGAAAAATGAATTAAAGATGCTCGCAGGGTTGCCAGAATTATTTATTTTACTTTGGGCAAAACTCAAATACAAGAAGACACAAAATGTAATTTTTGAGACATGGGGGTAATAATCAGTAATACATTGTGCATATGTTGCTACTAAAAGAGTTTGAAAAGCCAATTTACGTAGGTCACTAATACATTTTTAACAGATTTATTGAAATGCATTAACAAAAATTGTTTTTTAAGAAATATATCACAGGTAGTAATCATTAAACATGAATGAAGTGGGGAATTAAATGGATGGGGCAAATGAAGAACAACCTGACGTTACATTCTCTTAACAACAGAAGAAGAGAATAATCAAATCAATTAGAAAGCCACAAAAACCCACAGAGGATGATTACCATATTGTGGACAGACCAGAGGTAGTCATAATTCTACACCTTAGAACAGGACACATTCAACTTGGCAGCCACATGTACACAACATTTGAGATTGGTGAATCAGCTATGTGTACATGTGGATTAGCACATGAGACAACACATCACATCCTCCAAGACTGTCCCAAATACAACATATCAACCCAAAATTTTTGGCCAAGAGAAACACTGGTGCAGGCTACACTTTACGGGTAGCTGATTGAATTACAACAGACAGTGAAGTTTATACTAGAGACAACATTGCAGATATTTATATTCTATTTTAAATGAATGAAAGGAGAAGACGCAATGTGACCTCATACCATGACACCATTGCTCTGCGACCCGCTGAAGCAGGGCTGTTCAACCCAGGGGCCAAAATGTTGGAAATGGAGATCGTCACGGCCCAGAGGCCTGAGCCCCAGCGTAGAGAGATCATTGATACAATACACTGGCAGTGATCAGAGGGCCACTTACTAGACCTCAGAGGGGCAGATTTGGCTCGCGGGCCACAAGTTGAATTGTCCTACGCTAAAGACATATCATGCCACAATGACTTAAACCTGTTATTCCTCCCCCCACACTAAACCCACCTCATAAATGCTATTTTTAGCCCTCTTAACCCTTTGGAGACGGAGCCTTTTGGGAGTTTTGGTTCCAAGAAGACAGAGCCTTCAGGAGGGGAAACAAAAATTAACAGAATTATACAAAATAAAGCGTTTAATTAACATGTACAAAACTATATATATTCGTGTAGGAAATTAAACCAACTAACAGAATATTTATGAATCAAACTGAAATCTCAAAATTTATTCAAATTAACTATTATGATTTGCATATATTTTATGCAACCAGTTTTAAAATAAAAACTTGGGAACAAACATAACTAACCTGAAAAATGTGGGTGAATTATTTTATGGATGAAGTTGAATAAGTCCTAACACCTGTATTTTTGGGAAGTAAGGTCCTTGGAGGCCCTTTAGACACTCTGGCACATGGTTCTACTTTTTTTCCTGCCTCCAGCTGTTTCGGTTGCTATGACGCAACAGTCCTTTTTGCCATTTTTGGTCACAGGTAACCTCAGAAAAATAAATTGATTAAAAATTACAGAACACATCAAACTTTCTTGAAAGCCGTTAATGAATATCCCACATGTGCAAGAAATGCGAGAAGTAGTCTGATTAGCTGGTGCGAAAACCTGCCAGCCAATATCAAGGCTTCAGTTATATAGTGCCGACCAATGGGCCCAGTCTTTTTGGCTACTTTGTGTTAGGCCGATTTTTCGGCTGCGTCGTTTCCAAAGGGTTAAACACTGCGCAGGAGCAAACAGAACCAGTGCCATTAACTAGGCTTGTCTATATATAGACTTCACCTGGAATAGTAACAGATGGAGAAGCAGAGTTATTGATGCCTTGGGGAGAAAGGCTTGGTTTGGTCTTCTCTTTTCAGCTCGACTCCAGTTGTTTGTGGGTCTGCCTGTGTATTATTTCCCCACCATCTTCATGATCTGTGGTCTACTCCCTTTCAACTCTTTTGTATGTACAGTATTTTTTCTCTCTGTTATCTGCCATTCTCTCTGTATGTCCCTGCCACTACTGTCTGTTAGCCCTCATGATGCTACTACAGATTATGAATTTCCTTGTTGCCTAATGTTGTACGTTTATATTGTACTAACAGAGCTTGGCAGACTGTACAAAAACGATGGATGCGATCACGTGGAATAGTTACCAAATTGTCGGGAATCGAGCCCGGGCCATGTGCTATGCCAGCCAGCAGGTACAGTTTCGCAAGTTGACTGAAGCAACAGTCAATAAGTTGGCCTCTGTCACCAATGAACAGATTAAAACTCTGAGTGACTTGAAGGTGAGACATTCGTTGTAAGAATGATTGTTGTTCTTTAGCTCTTCCTTTTTTTGTCCTTTTGTCTTCTTATTTATTTTCTCCTCCTCCTCCCCCTCCCCTCCTCTCCCCCGCCCCACTACCAACTTTTCTCCTTAAAAAAAAAAGCAGCAGTCAGTTTGAGCTTACTATCACCATTTGGTGTGTCCTCAAAAGGAGCAGGTTTAGATCAATATTTTCTCTGATAATTTTAGCTATCAGGACCAGACATATTCTTAACATTAGTGGGATGTAATTTGGCTATTATTTGCTTCACCCTAAACACAATAGTAACACCAAGTGCTATAGTTTGTTCTTTTGTTTAGTTTTATGTGTCTGCATTTTCTGTTAAGTTTGATGCATAGTAGAAAATAAAGATAGCGCTTGTTTGTTACTTATCATATACTCATCAGAATGCGTGTGGGATATAATGCAGGTAGCATGTGTGAATGGGAAATTAGAAGTTGAGCCGGCAAGGATTGACATTAAAGAAAAAGAGAATGGCATGTGTATAAGCTGGCTACTGACTATTTTTTAAATGAGGTTTTATGTTACAGGTTGGACAGGAACAGCTGCATTCTCTGACATCGGAAACTGTTAGGAAACTGTACGAGAGCCAGCAGGATCTGTTGTCCACTCAGTTATCCTTGCGTGAGGCCCACGAAGGCATCTTCAACCACATCGCCCTAAATGTGAAGGAGATCATGCAGGAGAAGGCCCTGATTGCTTCAGGAAATCAGGAGCTGGCGGCCATGACTGAAAACATCCGAAAGAAACTGGGTAATGTATGATCAAAATTAGAGATAATATTTGTGGATAAATGCTTAGTATTTTCCTGCACAAGAAAATCTGTTCTGGTCTTTTCTTTGCTTTCTACCGATATACTTTATAAATTTGATATCTACCCAGTTAGATTGTTGAATGTTGCATTAAGAATCGACATATCACTTGGGACACTACCATATTTGCCCAGTCCCCATCTTCAGCAGCAAAGTTTCAATTCCGATGGTATCAGCAACAGTCTTACATCAATCTTGCTCTTCTCTCGGGTGTTGAGTGTCAACCAGATGCCCTGATAACTCCCCACAATGCCATTTTCCTCGGACCGTAATGATCTAGTTGTACCTCCACACTGTTCACCAAAGGGCCGTCACATCTGGTTTGTCATAAATTATTTCACCATAAGTGGTGCAGAGCCAGCCATTCTATCTGCCCGCTCATTTTCCAACACATGAGCGTAACATGGAGAAAATATCCAAAGGATGCTAACTGCCTGGGATCTCTGAAGCAATGCTTGCCACTCTGCACAGAGCATGCCTGTATCCACCTTTCTCAACATACTCTGTGAGTCAGTTACAATGACGACATGTGTGTACAGCTGATTCCTAATCCAGCAGAAGGCAGCAGTGACTGCTTACACTTCTGTTCTCAAACTAGACTTTGTAATGTCATATGCCAGGCTTTGTTGCACTTAGCGACGTCCATTTGCTTTTGTACTCTGGTTGACTTGATAGGCAAGCGATAAAGAATCCTTTTTACAACAATGGCACATTAGGCATACAGTGCTAAATTCATATTCTATTAGACCAGTCAGCACATGGTTGAAGATGTAGTCAGCATGCCAGCCAACTGTAATTCCCAGGATATTAACTTGTTCTAATTTTAGGCTTGGTTGGCTTCGTGGCCGAGGTCAGTTTTGTTAAAACAAATCACTCAGTGTGGATTCTTGTAGTTTGATAAGAAATCCAGTAACAACTGCAGCTGTTGTTACTTGAGTGTTTTTTCCTTTTTGTCCACGATCTTCTTACTGATCATATCTACCGTCAGATTCACTTTGTCAGTCATCATCTAACACTCTTGTCCGTACCTTGTAGTCTTTACATTGGAGCTTAGCTAAAATGTATCCCTGCTAACTGTGGGAATATTGTGAGCTAAGGCTGTAGTCATTTCCACAGTGCAACTGTTGTACCACTGTCTGAAAGTCATAAGAGTGGTCTTTTTTCCCCTTTTTTTATCAAGATTACTATAGGAATTGAACCTAGATAAACATTGGGTACTGCGTTGTGAAACTAAACTCCTTGGTACAGAGCCGTTAAGAGTAAAAGGTCCCACACACATCATCTTCAAAAGCCTTGCCATTGGGTGTGGGTGATCACACCTTCTGCAGCCTGTGGTCTCCAACAGCATGCATCATTTCTTGTGCTGACACCTCTCCGTGTCATAAGAAAAGGCTGTCAAAAATCTTCTCACGTTGATTTCCTTTCTCTTTCCACAGATCTGTCCAGGGGTCACAACATCTTCCAGTTTCTGTCTTCTTCAACAGTACATAACCTTTCAGTAAGCAGATGTTCATGCCTAAATAATTGAATATGTTATTGTTTCACAGATTCAACATCTGAGCAGATTAAAGAAAGGGAATTTGTTGAACACAAGAAGCATGAGAGAATACTTCAGGACCTCAGGGAGATACAGGAAAGCACAGAAGCATCTGTTGGAAAACTAGGTTTGGGAAGTTATCATTTTATATCTCAAGTTACCTTCTCATATCTGAAATTACCTTTGCATGTCTAAAGGTAATGTCTCATATCTAAAGTTACTTTCTCATGTATCATGTTACCTATGTATGTCTATGTTACTTTCTCACTAGTGCATTACCTTATAAAAGTGAAGAGACTAACCAGTCATGTCCAGAAAATGATTCACTTGGTGGACCCATGGCCAGATCATCACTTATGGGCCTGTGGCCAGAGCAGCATTTGTGGGCCCATAACCATAGCATCATTTATGGGCCTGTGGTCAGAACAGCATTTGTGGGCCCATAACCAGAGCATCATTTATGGACCAGTGGCCAGAGCATCATTTGTGGGTCCATAACCAGAGCATCATTTGTGGGTCCATAACCAGAGCATCATTTGTGGGCCAGTGGCCAGAGCATCATTTGTGGGTCCATAACCAGAGCATCATTTGTGGGCCAGTGGCCAGAGCATCATTTGTGGGTCAATGGCCAGAGCATCATTTGTGGGTCCATAACCAGAGCATCATTTGTGGGTCCATAACCAGAGCATCATTTGTGGGTCCATAACCAGAGCATCATTTGTGGGCCAATGGCCAAAGCATCATTTGTGGGTCAATAACCAGAGCATCATTTGTGGGCCAATGGCCAAAGCATCATTTGTGGGCCTATAGCCAGAGAGCATTATTTGTTGGCCAATGGCCAGAGCATCATTTGTGGGTCCATAACCAGAGCATCATTTGTGGGTCCATAACCAGAGCATCATTTGTGGGCCAGTGGCCAGAGCATCATTTGTGGGTCCATAACCAGAGCATCATTTGTGGGCCAGTGGCCAGAGCATCATTTGTGGGTCCATAACCAGAGCATCATTTGTGGGCCAGTGGCCAGAGCATCATTTGTGGGTCAATGGCCAGAGCATCATTTGTGGGTCCATAACCAGAGCATCATTTGTGGGTCCATAACCAGAGCATCATTTGTGGGTCCATAACCAGAGCATCATTTGTGGGCCAATGGCCAAAGCATCATTTGTGGGTCCATAACCAGAGCATCATTTGTGGGCCAATGACCAAAGCATCATTTGTGGGCCTATAGCCAGAGAGCATTATTTGTTGGCCAATGGCCAGAGCATCATTTGTGGGTCCATAACCAGAGCATCATTTGTGGGTCCATAACCAGAGCATCATTTGTGGGCCAGTGGCCAGAGCATCATTTGTGGGTCCATAACCAGAACATCATTTGTGGGCCAATGGCCAGAGCATCATTTGTGGGTCAATGGCCAGAGCATCATTTGTGGACCAATGGCCAGAGAGCATTATTTGTGGGCCAATGGCCAGAACATCATTTGTGGGCCAATGGCCAGAGCATCATTTGTTGGCCAATGGCCAGAACATCATTTGTGGGCCAATGGCCAGAGAGCATTATTTGTTGGCCAATGGCCAGAGCATCATTTGTTGGCCAATGGCCAGAGCATCATTTGTTGGCCAATGGCCAGAGCCTCATTTGTTGGCCAATGGCCAGAGCATCATTTTTTGGCCAATGGCCAGAGCATCATTTGTTGGCCAATGGCCAGAGCATCATTTGTGGGCCAATGGCCAGAGCATCATTTGTTGGCCAATGGCCAGAGCATCATTTGTGGGCCAATGGCCAGAGCATCATTTGTGGGCCAATGGCCAGAGCATCATTTGTGGGCCAATGGCCAGAGCATTAGTTTTAGCCCCATGACCAGAGCATAGATTTTTAAAATTTTCTGTAAAGCTCCCAGGTCGACCCAGCTAACAGTACCAGGAAATATCAGTAAAAGCATAAGTGGCTGGCGAGATGTTGGCCATATCACCCATCAGTGATTATATGATATATGCTGTTGAAGATCACAGATTGTGGAGAAGCATGACTTGCCCATACCAGTAAGCAAGGCATGCTCAGTCAGCAGCCATCGCCCGTGAAGTCTATGAAGGTTTCCAGATAAGAGGAGACATTTGCAGCTGCACTAGACTTAGAGGATGCGTACAACAGAGTTTGATTTGAATACTTGGTGCACATACTTCTCCAATTGCAAGTATTTCCCTTCATCACCCCAGGTTAGCCGCAGCACTGTTTCATAGACGGGTGTATGGTTCTTGGTCCTCAGAACAAAAAACCATCAGCCCAGGATTGCCTCAAGGTTCTCCGCTGTCTCCAGTTCTATTCACCGTGTACACAGTGCTGATAACTGAGCAGCAGTTGCACGGGACTGGCAGGACCTTGTCATTTGCTGATGACGTTTTGGTATATCGACGTGGAAGAGAACATCAAGAGATTGCCAAGTCAATGTGCAGAGTGAACTTGATCGCATCTCTTCTTGGTGTGCAGATTTTAATGCTCACGTCAACCCTTCGAAGGCCTCGGTAACGTGGTTCTCCTTGAACATGCATATAGTGAAGGCAGACCTACCACTACAGCCAGTCTTCATTGTATTGTCATCATCTTGTTGTACCGTTATATATCACATAGGGCTCACAGTATATTCTTCCCTTCTGTTCTATCCTGTACAATTGATTTATGTTGTTACCAATCCATATCAACTTCTTAGGGCATTGTTCTGAATCATTCCTCCTCCATCCTTCGATACAGCAGCCATCTCAGCATCTCCAGGCGCACCCTATCCAGTACTAAAATTGGCATATTTATAATCGACCAAGCGACATCATCTGTACAGATGGATCAATGATTCGTGGGGTGCTGTCTGGGTGGGCATACACAGTAAAAGAATAAAGTCAGGCATTCAGTTCATCTAGTTCTAGCATGGTGATGAAGATAGCAGGTGTCACATGGCAGGCTGAACAGAAAGCAACTCACTTATAGTGACATACTCCTTGAGCATGCTTAAGAAAATCCAAACTGACCAGCTCCAACTGGAATGGATTGACATCATCCAGAAGTTTTGCGTCAAGAAACTGTCTTGGTTCTAAACACCAGGATATGCCAGGGTGAAAGGATATGAAAGAGTCGACAGACTGGCAGTGTCTGCAGTAGTTAGTGGAGGAAGAAGTATTGATCAAAATGAATGCTTTGCTTTCCAGAAACATTGAGACAAAGGAGTCAAGAGATGATGAACTGATTTGATTCGATTCATAAACCAACATCACAGTACTCGGGGCATTCTCATAAGCGCTCTGTCCCATCTTCAGCAGCCAGTGAAGAGTTTTGATACTAATGGTGCCAGTAGCATTCTGATTAAACGTCCGTCTTGCCTTTCCTCTGAGCCTCCAGCTACCTGGTGGAAATGGGTATTAAATGAAGACAAGCATTCAGAAACCAGTTGCAGGGCAAAGCAGTTGCTTCAATAGCCAGCACTTTTGTCCTCTCATCAGCACTAAACTATAGTACTTTTAGCATGTCGGCTACTGAAGAAGGGGACGGAGCAGGTGTGGGAATGTCCATAGTATTGTTTGTCAATTCTTCATTCATTCATTAATTTATTCATTCAGCTTAAAATACCTCTGAGTGTCTGGTGTGTGTCAGTGGCGTGAACAGGGCCAAATATGGTTACTATTTTTCCTGCAGAATCTAGTTTGATGAGCTTGTTGACGAAATTTGAGCAACTGGATGGCCAGTATGCGGGGATGTCCATGAGTTTGAAGAAGATGAATACAACGATGAGTGATCTAATGTCAGCTCTGGATTCACTTGGGCAGAATTTGAATGAGCGGATTAACTGGATATCTCAGCTGCTGGATGGAACAGGTATGTTGTTTTGGAGTAGGGGAGAAAAATGGTTGAGGGCAGAAATTGTCTGTTGGGGTGGGGGGGGGGGGGGGGTACTATTTGTTGGAGGAGGAAGAAATTGTTGTTTGTTGAGGATAGAAATTGTTTTTTTGAGGGGTGACCTGTTGTTTGTTGGGAAACAAAATGTCTGTTTCTTGGTAGTAAAATTTGATGTGTTTTGGGAAGAAATTGTTATTTGTTGGGGGTAGACAGTTTTTGTTGGGTATAGAATTGGATAGAATTTGTTATTCTTTGAAGGAAGTAACTTGTTCGATACAAATAACTAGCTCTCTCAGTGAGTTCTTTGCTTTCATGACTATAGTATGCTTTTTTTTATACATCCACTGTGATTTCTTCATTCTTCTTTTTTCTTCTTCTGCACTTATCCATGACTCTTGCTCTAGAAACCCTTACAAAAAAGGCCAGAAACCCGGGAATTAACCAAAAAATTGTGTTTTAAAAAACATACAATTTTTCACTGGTTATAAAGTTAAAATAAATATGTAGTGTTTAAAAATTGATTTTTGAAAGGAAGGGGAGTAATCAGTAAATATGAATGTAAGTAAAGAGTTAAATGAATTACATTCCGCTGGGTCTAAAAACTAATAGATGACTTATACACAATACCGTGACCATGTTGGGAAGCTAAAACTAAGGCTTTTGGCAATTTATGATATCATGATAGCTTTTAAAAGAAAACTGGTTTCGGTAAAGAGAACTGTAAACACTGTACAGAACCTAATGCAGTTATCTAGGCATTTTGGGGACAGACCACTGCAGAAATGTTGGGTAAGTAGCAATTACAGGATTCTGTAATACTGTTTGTGTGCCAAACTTCTTAGGAAGAAAGTTTTAAAAGGGCAGTTGATGCAGTCTCTTGTGTTTTAAAGCTAGGCTGTGATCTCTTGCACCTTTCAGTACAACACACCAATTTTCAGCAAAACCTTAATCAGTTAACTTTCTCAACATGCTTGTTTGGTGGTAGGTTTATTTGTGTTGTTTTTCTCTGGAATGGTGCTCTTGAACACACATAGGGACTCTTTATTCTGTAAAACATTTCTAGAGCTTCTACATAATTTCTCACAAGTCTGCTGATGGTGCATAATTCACCTCTATATTTGATTAGCTAAATGCAGCTCTATAGATATCTTTTCATCTCAGCTAAAACAGACAGATTGCATTGAATATTCATTATTAGCCTGTGAATGGCAGCTTCTAATTGGTTCTGTTACTACTGCCATAAAAAGGGAAAATTTGAGTAAATTGTACTGTGGGAAGATGGAGGAAAAAAGAAGCAAAAACTGATCAAAAAAGATGTTAGCTAGTTTGGCAGATCATGTCTTAGAAATGATTACACAAGACAGAAAGCTCTGGACATTCATTTTTACCTTCTCCACATTACTGCGAGTGATTTGGCTACAGACCAGTGATACTGAGAGCTGACTGTTTAACCAGCAGTAGCCAACTATTGAACATAAACATTGCCTAGTGAAATCACTAGCAGTCAAAAAATGCTGGAGTTGGTTCTGCAAAGTCCTGCAGAGGATACGCAAGAATGTCTTTTAGGATAAAAGGATAGACTCATGGGGATTCGGGGGCCCTTTAGGAAGAGGATGGGAATAGGCCCACTGCTTCCGCAGGTCATAAAAAGCGGCTAATTAAGGGTTTGATGAAATTGGATATGTTAGGCTTTTTCTTTTCGTTCGCCCAAGTTCGCCTGCAGGTCCATGGCCTGATGACCACACAGATAGGTATTCTTCTTCAGCACCTTTAATGTTGTTTCATCAGGACTCTTAGCACGACAGTCTGTAACAGACATGCATTCTGCATGACTTCCCATATTTGGTCCTGACACTCGTAAGTAGGGCCAGTGGTAATAGACATTTGAACCTTTCTACCAAACAGTAGGACCTGATAGTCTGATATTAATGATTCTGCTGTTATGCCATAGGTCATGAATCTGATGGACATTTGAGCCTAAGCAGCTGATTGACAGTGGCAGATTGTCATGGTATACTCAGTGTCGTGGCGACGATGTTGAGGGTCGACAAAGGAAGTAAATAGACAGGACTGCACCGCAAGATACCGCCTGCAGGAGATGTTGCTCGTCTAAGCTGTGAGCAGATCTTTTGGTCTAGGACTGAATCTCTGCAGTTCAGATCCTTCACCGGACAGATGTTTCAACTGAGGGTTGTCATTTGGTAGTATATTTAGCTAGCAGACTTTTACTCATGTTCCAAATGCATTTTCATATACCTTGACACCCATGCATTGGGGTGGGCTGATGAGTGCCAGAGGATTCCTGGGCAGTGCATCTCTGGGGCGACCAACTCCGAGATCGTCTAACAGCTCAGTTTTTGCTGATTGGAACCATTTCCTTGTCATACGACAAAGATCTTTGGTAGAAGTCTTGCATGAGGATCTGAAAAACCAGGACTGAACAAGCTGGCGCCTGAGATGAGGTACGGAGTAACTCTTTATACACATTCCAACAATCCTAACTTTAACTTACGCCTGTGACCGAAATCACCACGCCACGGATATGTGGGGCTAAAAGGCACATATATCGCAACCCTGCTGTATACAACAGAACAATGTACCAACTGCTATTTTAAAGAGAAAAGAAGGAGAGGGCTTAAAGGTTTATAAGTTGACATTTGTAAATATGTATTAAATCATCTTCAGAAAACATCTTTTCTTTATCATGTTTACAGATGACAAACTGTCTGCAATGTCCTGCTGTTTGCTGCACATTGCCTACTTCTTCCTTGTTGCCAGTGTGGCCACCTTCCTGCAAATATCCATCCCTGTGCGACTGGCCATGCTGGTGATCATTGTTGGAAATGTGGCGGCGGAGCTGAACTATAACCACAGTTTTGATTTTGCTGGCCTGACAGTGTTTTTGTTTACGGCATATTTTGGTGAGTGCTTTGTCAGACATGAAAGCATATTTATAGTTAACATCATTGGGTCCTTTTCAGGTCACGTCCTGTCCAGTAACTCTACTATATTGCCCATGCTGTCGGACATAAAAGCTTATTTATAGTTAACATGACTGGGTCCTTTCCGGGTCACTTTCGGTCCAGTAACTCTACTATATTGCTCAGGGTGTCGGACATAAAAGTTTATTTATAGTTAACATCACTTTTCCAGGTCACTTTCTATCCAGTAACTCTACAATATTGCCCAGGCTGTCGGACATAAAAGCTTATTTATAGCTAACATCACTGGGTCCTCTCGGGTCACTTTCTATCCAGTAACTCTACTATATTGCTCAGGCTTTGTTATTGAGAGGATCACTGTGGACTGTAAAACCCACGCATGCCTACAGTGGACCACTATTGTCTGGAAAGACTGAAAGGGACCAATAGTAATTTCTGCCTTTTAACCCCCAGTGGAGCATAGGCCCACAAACAGCTTACACCAAGTCGTTCTATCCTTTGCTGTCGCATGCAGCTGTTACCATGTCCTCCCCATCCTTTTAACTTTGTCCTCCTTTCTCCATGTTTTTTTTGTTTTGGTCTTCCTTTATTTCTGTGCCCCTGTGGATTCCAGTGCAATGACATTCTAGTTATATTTTTCTCAGCTTTTCTATACATGTGTCCTATCCAACACCAGTGTGTTTTCTTCACCTCTTGGTCCACTGGAACTTGTCTGGTTCTCTCCCAAAGCTCTACATTAGTGGTTCTATCATACCATTTAATTCTCTCTATTCTGCACAGGTACCAGATAATGAATGTTTTTAGTTTATTTGTAACTGCCTTAGTTATTCTCCATGTTTCAGCTCCATCCAACAGTACTGATGTGACATTAGAATTAAAAATTTCAAGTTAAATATTAGTTTTAATTTCCGATGGCCCCCACAAACTTCCTAGTGCTATGAAAGCTTCTCTTGCTTTTTGTATTCATATTTTAATATCTCTATCAGTTCCCCCATCTTTATCTACATTACTTCCCAAATAGGTGTACGACTGCATGTCCTGGAGTGGGATGTCATTAACAGGAACCACCTTACTATTTGCCTGATTTTTTCTCATTATCTTTGTCTTTCCCTTATAGATTTTTAGAGCTAGCTATTGTGTTCTCGCATCAAGTATATTTAATGTCTTGCATCTGATAAGATTTAATTAACAAAATGTCCAGGCCTTCAAAATGCTGTGTGAGAGTTACTTGAGGGAATTATGCTCAGTTGGAAGATGAAATCCAGAGAAGAAACAAAACACCTTCCTTCTTCTCCTTATTAGTCTTCCTCTTTATCTTCTCCTTTCCCTCCTCCTGTTCTTCTTCTCCATCTTGTCTTCTACTTCTATTCTTCTTCTTCTTCTGTGTTTTTCTTCTCATCCTTCTTCATCCTCCACCTCCTCTAGCTTTCATCACCCTGTGGGATCCAGGCAACTCATGCCAAGCCCTTAATGGACTTAACCAAATAAGAAAGGTCTTTGCTGCAGCAGAATACAACAATATACAGTGAAACACAAAGATAGATATGTTAAAATCAACAAGCTCAAAGCACAGGGATTATTTAGTAAGATGGAGTCTCCACAATTAAGGTTGCTGACTGTTTACACTCTCTGAGACAGTTGTTCACCCGTCTCTTGATTTCAGTCACGGGCATGTCTTCCTATATGGTTTAGAAGCTTTGTCAGTTTTATTGTTTGGCCATGTAACAAGATTGGCATCAGACAGGGTACCCCAGAGAGCAGTGTTATACAAATACAATGGTAACAGATCCAGAGTTCGGCTACACAGAAGATGGACCGCAGAAATATGAGAGACACTGAAAAATACTTTATACGAATGGAGCAGATGGGCCCCTTGCAGAGATCTCTTCCTGTCCTGTCGCTGTGAGGCATTTCAGGAGTAGAGAAAAGAAAATTAAGAAGATGTATATTAATGTGGCTGAAATATTCTATTTCTTTACTTTCGACAACTCTCTGTTCATTTCCAGGTCTCTTTAGAACCTCTGTATTTGATGTTGTGACCTATTATTCTTTACATTCACATCTCCAGGGCCTATGACTTTCTCTTGACTTGTTTTTTTTTTGGGTCCAAGTTTCTGCATAATACTAACACATTTCTATACCTTACAACAAACTTTTGCTGGAAAAATAGAAAGAAAATCAACAAGAAGGGTTGAGGCGTTCACTAAACTACCAGATGAGCTTTGATTGTGTTGGGGAGAAGTATTTTGGAATACTCTCCTTCTATGTGGGTTCCAAGACCATTTTTTTTAAAGAAAACAATGAACTCACTGCACCCTTAACAAGCATGTCATACACGGCTACTAATTAGGGGCTTTATGAAAAGGCTGAAGCGTGAACATTGTAGTCTAGCTGCAGACCACAACACAGCATGCCAGCTACCCTTTTAAGTGTCAATGCAAACCACAACACAGCATACCAGCTGCCCTTTTAAGTGTCAGTGTAAACCACAACACAGCATGCCAGCTACCCTTTTAAGTGTCAATGCAAACCACAACACAGCATTCCAGCTGCCCTTTTAAGTGTCAATGCAAACCACAACACAGCATGCCAGCTGCCCTTTTAAGTGTCAATGCAAACCACAACACAGCATGCCAGCTGCCCTTTTAATTGTTAGTGCAAACCACAACACAGCACACCAGCTGCCCTTTTAAGTGTCATTGCAAACCACAACACAGCATGCTAGCTGCCCTTTTAAGTGTCAGTGTAAACCACAACACAGCATGCCAGCTGCCCTTTTAATTGTTAGTGCAAACCACAACACAGCATGCCAGCTGCCCTTTTAATTGTTAGTGCAAACCACAACACAGCATGCAGCTGCCCTTTTAACTCTTTGAGTCCCAGGGGGTTTAGCATCACAGGCCCAAGGAGTAGTCAAGAGAGATGTAAAATCGGCGCATCATGCGTTCATTGGGCCTCTAGGTAGGTATCTATGAACGTATGATGCGTTCCTTGGGACTTAAAGAGTTAAGTGTCAATGCAAACCACAACACAGCTTGCCAGCTGCCCTTTAGTGTCAACATAAAAGAAGAATACTCACAATTGTTTCTTGATCTGATTTTCCAGGCTTCAGGTTAGTCTGTTTTATGGGGCACAAATTTAAGATCTCAAAAGGCGCCTATATGCCAGGCAGTGTCCTGCAGGCAATGAGTACCCACCCAGAACCCCTTTCTTCACAAGAAGTCAGGACTTTGCTAAATCTGCTCCAGAGATTTTCAAACACAGGTTTGTATATTCTTTTGTGTACATTAAAAGAAGTCCAGAGATTGTAAAATTATTTCCAGTAGTTATACACTGTTGACAAAAAATAATTAGATTAAAAAATTCACAGTATATTTTTCTTTACCATAGCTTCAGCATTTTCTACGCTTTGTGGACTGTTAACAATAATAATGATTTTAATCACTGTTATCGGCAGCTTTAAGTGTTTCCAGATTATAATATTCCATTGTTGGTGCGTGTTTTCGATCACAGGCATGAGTGAGAGTTAAGACCGTTGGGATGTGTATATGCAGATACTTTGTACTCCACCTCAGACGCCTACAGGCTCTGTGTTGGTTTTATGGATCCTCCTTTGAGACTCTTACCATATGTCCTCACTGTGTGCCTTGTATGATGGCCTGATTTGAGCTGATCTCTAAAGGGCATGAGTGGGAAGCTAAACATACAGATGTAAGGTTAAGTAGTGATGTGCAGGACATAGTGATTCCTTCGGTGAGCCTAAGACCATGTTTGGGCTCTGCATTTATGGAAGCCTGCTTGGATGGCAGGAAATACCCATATTTTGTCCCTGCTTTCCTTTGAGAGCCGGTCAGTCGGCCTGTGGTTGTCCTGGTAGGGGTTCTCACCATTTGGACTTTGGCTTTGTGCCAGGTCTTGAGTTTTGCGTGTACATGCGTTTTACTGGCTTATTTGTGTGCATTAATTGTTCCTTGCCTCTTGGAAAGATGCACTTCGGCTTTGAAAGAAGCCCCTAATAAATTGATTTCTACAACATGCTTGTTGGGGAGGCAGTGGTCTATTCTTGTTTTCCCCATTATGTGGTCCCGGAACCCACACTGGAATTTTGCCCTCCTAATCTCCCTCCATTCATACATACATTTCATGCGTACATCTGTTCACAAGTAATAGTAAACATTGTCAACAGCATTTAAATATTAGATGCAAGCACTGCATTATGTTTGTATTATATTATACCTACATTTCTAACCACAGCAAACCATTGTAATTCTAATAAATGTATAGGAAGTATATACGCTATTTCTAAAATACTTGTATCTTTCAAGTGGTTATGTAATCTGTATTCAGATGATACTCGAACAGTTTCCAATTGTATGTATAAAGGCTAGTGTACTTTTGATGTGTTGTGGAAGATAGTTTTCAGGGGTGAGCTGCAGAGAACGCCAAACTAAATTTGAGGTAGATTAAGAACAAAGTGTTAAGATAACATCAGTGAAACTTTAGGCAGACAAAAAAAAACACAGGAAGGGAGCTAGAGAGGGAAGTTAAAAAGATGGGGAGGACATGGGATGAGTCGCATGCAATAGCAATGTATAGAACGACTTGGCATGGGTTGGGTGAGGGCCTAAGTTTCACTGGGAAATAGACGGCAGAAGAAAACAATCAGTAGAACACTGTAGACCATTACAAAGAAATAATTAATTAAATGCACTTTCTTAATCACAGTTTCAGACTATCAGAATATAGTACCATCTCCTGTTGCCAATGGGACAGTCATTCATGACACAGTTCCTCGCTCGGAGACGCCTCTTTCTGATTTCAATAGGTCCAATAACAGACCTGAACCATCCAGCTCACATCGAGCCAGTAGTACCTTGGAGGTTAGTGGTCCATTTGTGTCTGTAAAATGTTTCTGCTATGTCAGACTTGATCTTCCCCATGTGAGTTCCAGGGCACCATTGTGTGTGTGGTGGAGTGGGGAGCATAATAGACCCACTGCCTTTCTAACAAGCATGTCCTAAGAGTCAGCTAATTAGGGGTTTACTTTGAAGTTGGAGTGGTTCTGTATGAGAAGCAAGAAACCAGTATCCTACGTACAGAAAATCCAGATCTGTAAAATGGATGTGCACACAAAGAAAAACTCAAGTTCTGGAACAAGACTAAAGTCCAGAAGTGGACAAATAGCCAGAACTTCAGAGTTTACAGCCTATGAATGCATAGAAGAAACTTCATTTCATTGTATACTGCATAGCTTCTTTTTTCTCCTGCCCATCCTCCTCTTGCTTTTTATCTTCCTATTGCTATTTATTTTCCCTTCTTCCTATTCTTTCTATTTTTATTTTTTTTTATTTTTTAAATCATGTTATTACCATATTGAAGTGTTGGAAGATGTATGGATCTTCTTTGTACTCTTTCTAATGCATGGTAAACATTGATCTTTATTTCTTTAAGGCTGTTCCTAATGCTGTTATTCCATCTGTTATGTGGTCTCACCCTTGATCTGTGTTCAGAATATTTCTTCTACATGACTCTCTGTAGCTAGAGAGCAGCATGGCTGGATATGTTGTAATTGCAAAGGACACATGGAGTATGCTTCTGAAATTTGAAAGTGGCATTCTGCACACAGAGCGGCTTGCATTACTTGATAAGACTCAAGTCAGGAAATATCAGGGATTTTCTGTCCAGGATATTTTGGGTGTGTGGGGTAATCAGAGACTGATAGATTGGCTGCAGCCACTCATCTTGGCAGTGAGCTACTTTCTGTTAAAGCAGACATGGTGCAGTCTCTCTGCAGTAGAACAGACAGAGAATCCATTTATTGAAAGACTAATTTAGTTGGGGGGAGAAAAAGGTTCTACAAGATATTCAGCACTGAGGGGAAACAGGCAGACTTTTGATCAGGTTACAACTGTTATTGTTAGCATGTTGACTCTTCCTTGGCTACTGATGGAGGCGACAGAGCCAGGTTGATAATTCCAAAGTGCTGTGATGTCAGTTCTTAATTGATTGACTGATTCATTCTATTGCAGTCCATACCAGGGCACTCTTGTAAGAGGGTCGACCCATCTCGCCTGTTGCTCTTTAATTTATTCCATGGCTGGTGAAAACAGAATTCAGATTGGCCAATTCAGACCCACAGCTAATTGTTATATGTTTCAGAATACACAGATGACACGGAGACATTTCATTGACCATTTGCAAAGTCCCGGCTCAAGGTCTTCATCAAGATCAGCCACACCAACACCTAGTGAATCCAGGTTTGTGCATTTTTAAGATTCGGTAATGTTTGAAAAAAAAAAGAGTAATGAAGATGTCGTGAAAGAAAAGGGTTCACGAAGAGGACTAATTGCCCACATCAGAAAGAGACAATCTGCATTCTTTGGTCATGTCATGAGAAGGAGAAATCTGGTGTACATCATGACAGTAGGAAAGTTGGAGGGAAAGAGAGGCAGAGGAAGACAGAGAGAGAAGATGCTGGACAGTTTGACATCATGGCATGGAGGATCAGGTGTGTCAGAGTTGATTTAAAGTACATGAGGCAGAAGGTTGTTGATAGACTTAACTGCCAACACCACACAGCATGTACTTTAAGGAGAAGAATGTTTAAATCACAAACAGCCCAAACAATGGTGGTTGGTTCTGCAACATCCTGTACAGGACATGCAGCTAACTTTGAAGATCTTCTAATAGTTGTATATTCTATTCTGGGCGGTGGCTCTGTGGCTTAAAGGTTACTGAACGCGTTTAACAATTTTACAATCCTTGTACACTAAGATTTGATTTCTACGGCAAATGGTTTATTGTTTGAAAATGGCTCACATGGTTTTGGGACAGTGGAAAGAGAGTCACACCGTAGATAAGATTGGGGCCTCACAACATATTACTCCCCAAGACAGCATTGGACACACTGTATAAACTTTAAAAAAAAAAAACTGCTATTACTGCTTGTGTTTACCACTTTTGCTCTATAGGTCATTGAGCCTGAGGATATAAGACCCTATGCCTAGTGCTGTTGCACTGTGCAGGTTGGGATTTTGTTTTTCAATCTGACAGAAAAGCCCCAAACCTTACTGAGGAATTGAACCTGAATCTCCTGCTTTAGAGTCCTGCTTTCTTAACTGTCCAGCCAGCCTACCTATGATACACTGTTATGGAGACACTCCAAAAAGAAATTCTACTCTGGCATGTTTTTGATCAAAACTGTTATTGTTGAGGTTTGTTGTATAACAGAGAGCTGATGTATATTATCTGGGAAGCAAATCATAGTAACATTGTAACTTAACATACATGTCATAAGAGGCATCTAAAGAGGGTTGGGTTGAAACCGGCTACCTCATCTTGTAGAAAACTATTTACTGGGTTTTTTCTTCTTCTTTGTTCACTGGCTGTAAGCTGCGGTGGAAAGACCTGGTTGTTTGTTCATTCGGATTTGTGTGTAGCTGGTTGTTCCTTTATGCTTGGACAGATGCATTTTGACTTCAGAGGAGACCCAATTAGTCCACTCCTATGACATGCTTGATGGGGAGGCAGTGGGTCTGTTCTTGTTTTCCCTATGATGGGGCTCTGAAACCTATATTGGCTGTTTACTGATTTAAGAATCAACAGCATAGCACACCAGGCATACCCATAGATGCTTCGTCTCCTGCAGCAAATATTTTCAGGTGTAGATGCCAACTGTTCCTGTAGCGCACTGATTAAACACGGGACGTTCTCTTCCTCTCATGTGTCCTTCTTTGCTGGATCCACTTCTGATTCCTAGTACACACATTCTTAAGCCTGTTATTTCATCTCACTTGATCTCTTCTTTCAGCATTTGTTCATAATTGGTCTCCTTTGTCCAGTACATGTGTTCCCATAACTATCACTTTTTTTAGCCCAAAAAATCTGCTCTTTCGTTTCTTGCACTCATGTAAGAAAACTAAAACTCGGCCAATCAGGAACAAGTCTGTGGAAAACTGTTAAGGGGTACATGATATCATATTTTAACTTTAGAATGCAGTACAGTAGTACTTCAGAATTATAACATAATCTGCTACAAAAAGGCGTTTGTATTCCAGCTAGTTTGAGTTCCAAAGCTGTGTTTTTTAACCATTGAAAATAATCGAAACTAGTCTGTTACAGGGTCCAACAAACTTAGATTTGAAAGTGTATTTCCCTAAATATAGTTCACTGTAATTTTAGTCATATGATGATCATATTTGAATACTTGAATACAATGATAAATTTTAATAATCATTGTATTTACTATCATCATCATCATATTGCAGGTCCTTTGCAAAACGTTGCTTTCATCACAGTCTGCCTGAAAGAAACTTGGTCTCTCGCCAGCTCTCCCTCCTCGTGTACTTTCAGACTCAAGGAGTCACTTATATCCTGTGCCCATCTTCGTGTTGGTTGGCCCCTGCTCCTTCTTCCTGGTACCATGCCTTCTGCTCTGATTTTTCCAATCCATTGTGGCGCTTGATATGACCATAATATTTCAGGATGCTGTTTATTAGCGAATCCTCCCTGAGGTTCAGATCTTTCAAAATGTCAGTATTTCTCCTCTACTTTGTCCAAGATATTCTGAGAATCTTTCTATAGCATTAGTTTGGGGTTACTAGTTGACAGCCAGTATTCCAAAATGCTCTGGTGTTGGCAACCATTTCTAATTTTCTAAAATGTTTGATAATACTGTCATTGAATAAGAATAAGTTAACAGTTGTTCTGTTAAGGTGCCACCTATAAACAGCGTCTTCAGTTTTCAACCACATGGTCAAAAGATCTTGGAATCCATTTTTTTTTTTTTAAAGTTTTGAATGAGGCATTCAAATTTTGAGGTACAACTGTATTTTTTGTTTTTTGTTGTTGCTGCGATTCTACTGTTCATAAATTGTGATAAGTTCTTCAGTATGAGCATTAAAAGGCATGCGGTCCATGGAAGACCTTAAAAAATAAGAAGATCTACAGGTCTTAGCGAATTTGGGACCACTGGGTTGTCGGTTTATACTCCAATGAGATATGAAAGGTGTTGGAAGACAGATTCAGTAGACAGCGCCAAAGAGAAAGATGCATGTGTGTGCATTGTCATGTAACAAGTCCATGTAGTAGAAGGGCACTCTTATCTTGGCTTCTCAGAAAGACTGATTCTTTTATATGTTACTTGAATGCACAGACCACTGTATTTAGATTGCAAATAGGATGCAAAGGGGCTGAACCACAGCCAGGTAGGATAAATGTTTGCTTCAAAGTCCAAGTGCCTGAAAGTCGAGGAACCATCAGACTTATAACATGGATGTGCACGCAAAACTCAATTTCTGGTACAAGACTTCATCCAGAAGGGGGCAAACAACCAGAACTGTCTGCTGGAGTCCACAGCTGGTGAATGATAAGAAGAAGAAGACTGCAAAAACTGGACACAATAGACTCTACAGCCATATGTACCGGAAGTTCAAGATTGGGGAATCAGAACCTTGTTTATCTGGACAGGCATTCCAGAGTACTAAACATTTGCTGCAGAAATTTTCTCTACGTGCATTAGGGAGATCTCAGTTCTTGCCAGTTGGCATTTCAGTAGAAACCAAGCTGTATTGATAAGTGGAGGATATATTGAGCTACAGCCTTCATAAAAGGCCTATGCCATCTGAAAGCCACTGGCTGGGAGAATGACAAAAAAAGGTATCTTTTCTTGCCTTAAAGATATATAATTTAAAGAATCTTATAAAGATTTGAAGATGTATAGAATCTTTTCTCATCTCTGTAGGTCTTCCACACCTGGTGGTTTGCGCTGCCAAGCAAACACAGTAACAGGACTCCAGTGTAGGTTGCCTGTGCTTTCAGGGTCTGACTTTTGCCGGGTTCACACAGGAAGGTAACTCTAACCAGCCTTGTTGAAGTTTGCAGAGTTGCTTTTATTCCCCGGTAATCTCATGGAATGAAATCACAGAAATGTCTGTACATTTATAAGTTGAAATTCAAAGGCTGTGTAATGTTTGTGTTGGTTGTATTTTTAAACATTTTAATGTGAATACTAAATCTCCATCCCACAGTTTTTTTAATTCTTAGTAGTATCTTAAAAAGAATTTCACTGGTTTATGTACTAAACTGTTGAGTCAGTGGTCTGGGTTAACATACTGAAGTTGTACAAATTTGTGTCTTTCCAGCAGTATAACACTGGTATAAACCTGACCTCATGAAAATTGGTGCCAGATAATTTTCAGAATTCTGAGGATGGGAACTGGCTAGCCCATGTCATATGTCTTGACTACCAACCCCAACAGCAGGATCTGTATGGGACTACCGTTCATACCTTCCTTGAAGTTTGTTATCGACACCTCTCGTTCTTTACAGACGATAGTGTTCTGTTACGCTATGGGAAGGTATGGAAAGCCTATGGTAATACCAATTAGAAATGTTGAATTAAGAATCAACATCATAGCACTCGGGAGACTGCCATGAGCACTCTGTCCCCATCTTCAACAGTGAGCAAAGAGTTTCGATTCCCATGGTACCAGTAACTGACTGTATATCAGTCTTGCCTTTCTGTTGATCGTTAGATAACTTGGTAACTCCTCGCAGCATTAAGGTGGTAATGTGGGTAACAGCATGTACTTCCCGCCAGTACTAAGGGGGTAATGTGGGGAACATCATGTACTTCCAAGGACTTCACCTGCTACCTGTTTAGGTTTATGTTGACTTGGGAGTGTGTTCAAATCAGTCTGCATTTTTAAATGTGTTTTTTTTAAATTGCTATGTACATTTTAATTTGTATCTTTGTTGTTAACAAAAGGTTGACATAACCTTGTTTAGATTTTTACAGTGCAACTTATTTTATGCACTTTCAATCTGTTTTATTAAGATAACTTTGTGATTAATAAAATTTTTCCTAATTTGCCATCTTAACCTGAAATTGTTTATTGTCAACTGTACACCGCTATTTGTAAACATGTTACTTATCAGCCACAAGGAAATGGTCTTGCTGACTGACATATGATAGATCTTTTTACACATATCTTTATTCTAAAATAAAAATCTGGCTCAGTGCGGATTCGAGCCCAAGATTTTCAGACTAGCAGTTTATGTGGTTGATGGTGGATAGAAGAAAAAGGACTAACAACATTTTTTTTTTTACCTGGTGTGTCTGGGCTGTGATGAGTTTGTACTGTTGTCTTATTGAAAAGATTTTGCAATTTAGCATGAGAGAGTCAAGGCACATACCTCGATATTGTGAACCTGAATCCTTGTTTGTGTACTTTACCTAAAGTTAGTGCACTTTCTCCATTTCTTCAGATTTTCACATTGAACGTTAATGGACTTGGAAACTTGATTGATGCTGGCAAGTTTGAAAAAAAAAGAACAAAGGGAGAGCAAATAGATAAATCATGGATAGCTTGGCCATTTGGATATAGCAAGACAAGAGCACTGACCTGATCTGTGATTCTAGTGGTCGTGTGAGATGACAAAGCAAAACTGCCTACTTTTATTGGCATTGCACATGATGAGAATGTTCTGATCATAGAATGTTTTTTGGGTCCAGAACGACGTCCCTTAGTCTTGGCTGTTAAAGAAGTGGCATACATTAAATGTTCAAAACAGTGGTTTCCTGTACTGAATATAAATAATGCGGACACAAACAATACTTTGCACTTTTGCCGGGCATATTTTGCGGTATCTAGTTTTTCATCAACATGTAATGAAGTGCAAAAAATGGAAAAATTCCTCTGAAATACAAATGGTCACTGTCAGTGTATCATGTTCATCTGATCACTGGAAGTTCATGATGGTGACATGACTTATCGGGGTAATTTCAGATTGTCAGTGAATTCCGTCTGCTTATATAAGAGAGGGTTACACATTTTTATTGTTAAATCTTCTACCAGTCTTAGCATTTGCTTGTTCGGTATGGTAAATCACACAGGAAGCACTATCCTTGTCAGTGACCTGTCCAGAATCAAACAAATGACGTCCTATAGGTGGTTTCCTTCCTCTTGATTGATCTCGACCTCTTGTGGCTATTGGAGGGGAGGGGGTGGTGAATATTATTAGGACTAAAGTTCAGTAGTTTCTGGGTTCAGTAAGCTAATAAATAAAATAATAATGTCAAAGCTTTAGAGATGTGGTTTTATAGACGAATGATGTAGACAGATGAAAAGAGTAATGAAGATGTTTTGAAAGAAATTAACTTACAAAGAGAACTTATTCTCTACATTAGAAGGTGACAGTCTACTTTCCTTGGTCATACATGAGGAGAAAGCTGAGGTGCATTGTGACTGGATGAAGACAGAGAGAAGATGCTGGACAGTTTGACATCCTGGCCTGCATGATCATCTTTGTCAGAAATTATTGAAAGTATGCGAGACAGAAGGTTGTAGATGGACACGACTACCAACAACACGTTTCTAGGTGTATGCACTGACTCCTTCATTTTGAAGGGCAAAGGTATTTAACCTCTCCTTGTATATCCTTGTTTTGAATGAATGAATGAATCACAAATTGACATCGCTGTACTCTGGTCATTTCCACACATTCTTTGTCCCCTTCTTCAGTAGGCGACGAAGAATCGGAATGCTAATGGTACCAATGGCAACCTGAATGAAAGTCCACTTATGTTTCCGCCTCAGTGTTGAATAGCCTCCAAAAACTCTACTTTTGATACCTATTCATCTGTTTCTTAGTTTCCTTATCTTTTAGCCAGTATTATTTTGAGTTAGTTAGTTGGGATATGATCATTGCACTTCAGATTTGTCCATAGATGTGTTTAATAGTGCCATTTCTTTGTTGATTGGTAAGTCTTTTTGTATGCCTGGTGTCTCTCTCGCTTTTGGCTTTGCCGATCTTAACTCCTGAGTCTTTCAGTCTGGTCAGCGATGTTAAATCGTTGTCTCGAATATCTTCCACCCTTCCCACTTCTCTTAGGGCATTATTTTTTTTAGTGTTAGACATGATATACTTAACACTTGTAGATAATCAGTCTTTTAATATAATCTTGTTTGTTGTTAGTTAATCAGTAATTCTGTGTTTAATTAGTAATGTTAACATTAATTTGTTAATAGCTGTGTTCATTCTAATTTGTGCATTTGTTAACAACAACAAAAAGTTAGCAAAACCTTGTTTATATTTTTATGGTGCACCTTGTTTCATGCACTTATTAATCTGTTATATTAAGATAGCCTTTCATGTAATCTGTAGCTCATGATTGATAAAATTGAAACTAATTTGCCATCTTAACATGAAATTGTTTATTGTTAACTGCACATTGTTATTTGTAAACATGTTACTTATCAGCCACAAGAAAATTATCTTGTTGACTGTCATCTAGTTGAGTTGAGTTGAATCAACTGTTGGACTTCCACCTCCATGTTACCCGCTGGCCACTCTCTGCATTTCCGGCCCAGTGTGATCCCTACACAGGTCAGACTTTTCCGCTGGTACTCTGACCCACTTCTATCCTCGCCCAATGCTCTCCAGCATGCATGCTTGTCTTATTATGTCTTCTGTTTGAGCCATCCACGATTTTCCCCTTTTCAGCCTCTGTCCTTCACCGACATCTCATAAATCTGTGTACATACACAGATGTGAGTTTGTCATTCTGCATCTTTGTCTTCTTCTTATACATCTGTGCCACATGGCGATGGCAGTTATGTCCGTCCAAAACCTTATATCTCTTGTACTGCTTACATCTTGTACACTACCAAACTTTTCTGATGGCACATTGTGGTTTACAGCTAGGCAGTAATATCTTCACTGTTCATGCCAAACACTTAAGATTTTATCTAGTTTTAAAATAGTCACCTTTTATGACTTGCTCAGTAAAGAAAAGTGATTCTTTTCTGATGTTCTGAACTTTTCTGATGGCACATTGTGGTTTACAGCTAGGCTTTAATATCTGCACCTCTCTGCCAAACACATAAGATTTTATCTAGTTTTAAATAAGTTACCTTTTATTTTCGATAAAGAGCACTGAATGTTTCTCCTCCCACCCCTCCCTTCCCCCTCAGTGGAACTCTGGAACCCATATTGGAAGCCAGGAAGAAATGATGGCATTGGTGGAAGAGGGTGAAAAGTCTATAGTGTTTTGTTGACTGACTGCTCACGATGGTTATATTGTTTTTTTATTGATATGACTGAGAAACATATTCTTATAGATGGAAAAAAGACAACTGACATTAAACGACATGTGATTTTCATAAGCTTCACTTTTTGATTTAATGCAGGGGTCTCTCAGTCTTTCTTTTTTATTCCAGCTCCCTCTGTCATATCTATGCCTTTCATTCACGATAATTGTCTATTTGGTACTTGTGTAAATCCAGGGCCCCATTGTGAGGAACATAAGAATAGATCCATTGCTTCTCTAACAACATGTCATAAGAAACAACTATATTGAGGAGTTTCCTTCAAAGTTGGAGTGCATCTGCCTGAGAGGTAAAGAGCCAGCAGTCTAAATATAAATAAAACGGGTGTGCTTGCAGCACACAAATTCTGGAACAGGGCTAAAGTCCAGAAGTGAATGAACAAACAACTTTTCACCAAAGTTTACAGCTGGTGAACGCAGAGAAGATTTTCTTGTCTCTTTTCACTCTGTTTTTCTAACTTACCCACTCCATATCTTTTTAATTATCAGTCTCTCTTTCTAACTATCATTTATCTCATTCTGTCTCAAAAAGTCACATACCGTCACATGTATGCTAGTATATATATATATATATATATATATATATATATATATACACACACACACACACACACACACACACACACACGCACGCACGCACGCACGCGGGCATGCATGCAACCACGCACACACACACAGGTGTGTGTGCATTATTAAAAGACGATTGTTGATGAGAGAGGTCAAAGGTACTGGACTGAATTCCGT